TTATTATATTTTATATTTTTATTATTTTATGTATTTTTATTATTCTCAATATATTTATTTTACTTATATTTTATTTTGCTAAATTAATTAGTTTATAATATAGTAATTAGTTAGCTATGACAAAAGAAATTTTGTAGTATTAATAAAGGAATCAATTAAATTTATATATTTTTACCTCTTCGTATCTTCATATAATCTGACATGATTCTTATACAATATTTGTAATTGAGTTCATCATCTGAATTCTTTAATTAAAATTGTTTATAATCTCGTCTTTCAAGTCTTTATATTTGATAGATTTATTTAAGTTTAACACATAAATTTGGTAAAATTAAAAGTTAGGTGGATCCTAACATTTTAATCACAGTAAGCTAAAGTTAGAAATTTCAAGTAGAGACTTGATAACATGATCACCTTGAGTTGAAGAATTCTACAGTGACAGTGTATATCAAAGAATCGAAAGCTCTTCATGGCCATAGCCTGCTGTGAATATTTAAATTCCATTACTGAAAAACTGTAATAGCTTAAGTTCTGAATTTGTGGTAAATAAGATATATAAAATATCAAATTGAAAGTATATTCTCCTTTATTTCTTGATGATAATGATTTTTTTTATTTTAATATTTCAGACCAGAGGATGATAGTGTAGATTTGTTTAAAATATGAAGGATTCTTGATATTATTTTAATGTAAAAATAGGAGACGAAATATAGGTAATATATTGAGTATATCAGCTGTAGATTAAATATAAATCTTAGTTAATTTATTATTTATTGTAGGTCTCAAGATCCTATATGACTTAGAAGGAGTTTTATCTAAATATCATAAAGACACTACAATTGAAATTCTTATCGTCCCTTTCAGGAATGAATTTACCTCTAAAACAATAAGAAGAGCTAGAATATTAAAGTATAATATTATATTAACAGATGTTAGAGATCTATATTTTGATCTTGTTCAGTTCGTTAAAGAATGACAAATTGATGATCTTGTTCAGTTCATTGAGAAATGAGTTCAGCTTGTTGAAGAATGATAAGTCAATATTTTTCGTCAGATATTATTAATATAAATTTGCACTTGAGAATTAACGAGCTCACAATTTTATGAACTTTTATTATATTTTTTACATTATTATAATGTTATTGTTATTATATATAATTTTTTAAATAGGTTTATTCTCATAATTTTAATAATATATTATATTGAACGTTCATTTAAAGTATAGTCTAAACTTGAGTTTAGAGATGATAGGTACATTCAAGTCATTTTTTATAAAATTATTTGTTAGAAATTAATAAGAAGTATTTATTATTTATTCAATAGATTATCAGATATAAGAAAGTTCTAATTATTATAAATTTTTAATTAGTCTAAAGCGTTAACAAAGAATTATATATATTTTATGCATTTTGATGTTCTGATTGTTAATACTCCAGACTTGTCTCTGTTACCTAGTAATAATGATTAGATTGTTAACTTTTTTAAATTGATTATAATTATATTATAATTATGATGATGATTTAGACTAGTATTGGCAAATTTTAAGGTCATTTTCCTTTTTTTGAAGTGATCTAGGTCATTTTGTATATAATTGTATTATAGATTTCATAGTAAATTATCATACGATTAGGTTATTTTAAGGTCACTTTAAGGTTATTTGCCAATATTGATTTAGACAGAAAAAAATCCAAGTTTATCAAATACATCAAGAAATTTTTTGTTTCCAAATTTAGAATATCATTAGTTATTTAAACTACATTTTTATGATTTAATATAAAATACTGAAAATACTGATTTAAATTAAGCAAGATTTTATTTATTTTTATTTTTTATTTAAAGAATCTTATACATAAAATTACAGAAAGATTAAAAAGCTGAACCACTATGTGTATAATAGAATATATAAAAAAAATGTGATTGATGTATATAATCTTTACTTCTTAATTGACTATTTAGATAAAATTAAATTTATTTTTATGATTTTAAGACTAAAACATTTTTTTTAATCTTTCTATTGCAAAGGTCTCATATTATTTTAATTTTTAATGTTAATAGTTTTATAAAAATTGAAAAAATTTTTTTCTTATTTTCTTTTTTCTCTTTGTTTATTAAAAAAAATTAAATTTAAAATAATAAAAATATTTTATAATAAAATAAAATATATCAGAATTAAGTATTCATTTAAGATATTTAGCTGAGTTATATAAATTAATGGCTAAATTATATATTAGAATTTTAATATTTTAGATTTAATTATAATATTAATACAAATAATAAAATTACATTAATTATATAGTAATACTATTCTATATCTTTTTAATTTAAATATTATTAACCTAAAATAATTTTAATTCTAATATTAATTTGTTATTGATAATTTTTTTATAAATAATCTAATATAATTTTAACTTTAATTTTAATCTTAATGCTAAACTATTATTAATATTTTTATAAGTAAACTAATAAAAATTTTTTATTTTTATATATATAATATTATTAATTTATATCAGATTTTTCAATAATTTCAAATAAAATACTAAATAATGATTTTATCAATAGGATTTTTACAAAGCTTATTAATAATAAAACTATAATATTATATATATATTTCAATATCTTATTTTGATCTTTAAATAAATTACTAATATGTAATTTATTTGTATCAGAATATATAATTTTTTGTTTAATAATAAAATTGTTATGATTTTTTATAATTAAATATATTAATATTTTCTATATCAAATGTATAATATTATTTTTTTAATAGTAAATATAAATATTATTAACTTTTATAAATACTCAAAATTACTAAATACTATCAAAGAATATTGTATTTCATTATATTTTTAAAAAATAAAGAATATAAAATTAATCTTCAATAAAATAATATAAATTTTTTAAGAAAAATTATTTATTTTAATATAAATATAGTATTATTTCTTAAATTATAAATATATTATTTATAAAATATTTTGAATTTTGATATCTAAATTAAAATAAGATGAAATAAAATTTACTAGATTTATAATATTAAAATATATTTAATAATAATATTTTTAAATTTTTAAATTAATAATTATATATATATATATTAATTTTTAATTTTTAAAATAATATATTATGTAATAATTATTTAAAAAAAATTTAATTTATTGGATTTATCTTATTAAAATTAAATAATAATATTTTATATTTTTAAGATTAATAGATAGTAAGATACTTTACTGAAATCTCAAATTTAGCAACTTTAATATTTTTTCATATAATTTACAATATAATTAAATTATAGTAATAAATTAATTTTTTAATTGTTAAATAATTAATTATTACTTTAAATTATTATATAGAAATAATAAATATTCTTTAATATTAGGCCGAACAAATTAAATTTTTAGTTTCTCATAACCGTGCGAATCATGTGAATATTACGAATAGAAAAAAATATTTATTTTTTTTAGTCACGTGATACTGAGCGGGTGTAAAGAAATTTGATCGGTAAAAATTTATTTATATACACATATATATACACTAAAAATATAGATGTACCGGTAATTGTTTATATACAAATGTAATATTAATACTATTATAGACTAAACTATTATATTATTATTTATATTGTTATCATTCAATTATATTATTATTGTTAGTACTATTGTTTAATTGTTAATTCCTAATATGAATTATTTCTGTTTTAACCTCTT